CGATTCTGAGTTTATGAGATTCTGAGATTCTGAGACTCTGAGATTCTGAGATTCTGGAATTCTGAGATTCTGAGATTCTGAGATTCTGAGATTCTGAGATTCTGAGATTCTGAGATTCTGAGATTCTGAGATTCTGAGATTCTGAGATTCTGAGATTCTGAGATTCTGAGATTCTGAGATTCTGAGATTCTGAGATTCTGAGATTCTGAGATTCTGAGATTCTGAGATTCTGAGATTCTGAGATTCTGAGATTCTGAGATTCTGAGATTCTGAGATTCTGAGATTCTGAGATTCTGAGATTCTGAGATTCTGAGATTCTGAGATTCTGAGATTCTGAGATTCTGAGATTCTGAGATTCTGAGATTCTGAGATTCTGAGATTCTGAGATTCTGAGATTCTGAGATTCTGAGATTCTGAGATTCTGAGATTCTGAGATTCTGAGATTCTGAGATTCTGAGATTCTGAGATTCTGAGATTCTGAGATTCTGAGATTCTGAGATTCTGAGATTCTGAGATTCTGAGATTCTGAGATTCTGAGATTCTAAGATTCTGAGATTCTGAGATTCTGAGATTCTGAGATTCTGAGATTCTGAGATTCTGAGATTCTGAGATTCTGAGATTCTGAGATTCTGAGATTCTGAGATTCTGAGTTTCTGAGATTCTGAGATTCTGAGTTTCTGAGATTCTGAGATTCTGAGATTCTGAGATTCTGAGATTCTGAGATTCTGAGATTCTGAGATTCTGAGATTCTGAGATTCTGAGATTCTGAGATTCTAAAGATTCTGAGATTCTGAGATTCTGAGATTCTGAGATTCTGAGATTCTGAGATTCTGAGATTCTGAGATTCTGAGTTTCTGAGATTCTGAGATTCTGAGATTCTGAGATTCTGAGATTCTGAGTTTCTGAAATTCTGAGATTCTGAGATTCTGAGATTCTGAGATTCTGAGATTCTGAGATTCTGAGATTCTGAGATTCTGAGATTCTGAGATTCTGAGATTCTGAGATTCTGAGATTCTGAGATTCTGAGATTCTGAGATTCTGAGATTCTGAGATTCTGGGATTCTGAGATTCTGAGATTCTGAGATTCTGAGATTCTGAGATTCTGAGATTCAAAATATTTAAATTTTTTATTCAAAATTTTGTTTTCAGAAATTTTAAATTTGTGAAAATTGATTTTTTTTCAAAGTTTCTAGAAACTTCTGAAATTCTAGTATCTTGAATTCTTTGAAGTTTCTAAATTTCGAAAATTCCTAATTATACAATTCGGGAATTTGCCACAAGAAGACAAAAATGATTTGACGAAAAGAAAGAAAATCAAAAATGCGATTCTTCTGCTTTTCCATCCAAACACAATACAATACAAGCCCGCTTTTCGGCCGCCGACAAGCAGAGAACGACAAAATTTGCATTGAAATCGAAAGTTTCAATTTCTCTGCGTCTCTCTGAATTCCTATACTATCTTTTCTCTCTTCTAAACTGGCTTTGTTTGATCAGTCGGACAGGAATAGAAATGTGGAAAAATTATTGCGAAATTTCCATATTTTTATATTTTGTATGCTTATTATGAATGGAAAGAGAGGAATCAAGAAGTGGAGGAATGTTGAAATTTCAGAAAATGTCAGATTTTCGGAGATTTTCTGAAATTTGGGATATTTAAAAAAAAATTCAAAAAATTAAAACTTTCAGGAAAAAACAAAAGTTCGGAAATTTCAACAAAATTTAAATAGCAGGTTTTTGGAAGCTCCAGAAAACTCAAGAAACTCAAAAAATGAAAAATATTAGAAATCAAATATACCGTAAAACCTGTATTAGAAGGGCCCCTCTAATTGAAGGGCCCCTCTAATTAAAGTGCCCCCCTAGGGACCCCACGAAAAATAGAAGGGCAGGCCCTTCTAATACTGGTTTTACGGTACTTCAGAGATGTTATGAAAATACAAAATCTCAGAATCTCAGAATCTCAGAATCTCAGAATCTCGGAATCTCAGAATCTCAGAATCTTAGAATTTCAGAATCTCGGAATCTCAGAATCTCAGAATCTCAGAATCTCAGAATCTCAGAATCTCAGAATCTCAGAATCTCAGAATCTCAGAATCTCAGAATCTCAGAATCTCAGAATCTCAGAATCTCAGAATCTCAGAATCTCAGAATCTCAGAATTTCAGAATCTCAGAATCTCAGAATCTCAGAAACTCAGAATCTCAGAATCTCAGAATCTCAGAATCTCAGAATCTCAGAATCTCAGAATCTCAGAATCTCAGAATCTCAGAATCTCGGAATCTCAGAATCTCAGAATCTTAGAATTTCAGAATCTCAGAATCCTCTAACATTGTTTTCTACATGAATCCCAATTTTCGAATTTCGCAAGTTCAAAAACTCAAAATCAAACGTTCAACCTCTTCTTCTCTTTTTTTTTCATGTGATCCAAAAGAAAGATGAAGAAAAAAAAAGAACATCTGGACTCATGAATAACACATGTGATTCTAGAAAAAAGTTCCTGATTTTCGGAATCCTTTGAAATTCTCGGTTTTCCTCATTTTTCCGGTTTTCAGGTTATCGAATTTCAGCTAGCTTTCGAAACTTAGATTTTCAGGAAATTTGAATACAGTAATTTATGAATCCGTCCCTTTTTCTTTCAAAAGAAAATCCGAGAAAAAAGTGGATGAAAAACAATGAGATGTGACCAAAATGAAGTGGTGTCTCGGCCGAGTAAATATAAACAAAGATTCCTGTGGAGGAGAGTAAAAATTGCGAAAACAAATGCTCCACAACAACAACAAGCTGAAGAGGCAGCAACAGCACAAATAAATACAGTAACCCTTCCATGTCCTTAGAATATAATAACAATAAAAATTCCCATCAATTCTGTCCAGAAACCAAGGTTCTAGCTTATCTGGAAGCTGAGATACAGCCATTTGAACTTTAGGAGGCTAGAAACGCAGACAACGAGACACGCTGCGTCTCTAACCTCGAAAACTTCAGATGGCCATATCTCGGCTCCCAGGTACCCTAGAAAGTTGGTTTTTGGACATAATTAAAGGAAATTGTTAGCTCTACAATATATTTTAACACTAGACTAAATTCTAAAGAAGTCGATTCAAAATAAAACATAATGTTCTGATTTAAATTAATCTTGTAAAACTAGAATTAGTCTGCAACAAGCTGAAGAGGCAACAACAGCGTGTAACGTTCTAGCTTATCTGGAAGCTGAGACACAGCGATTAGAAGTTTAGGAGGCTAGAGACGCAGACAACGAGACACGCTGCGTCTCTAGCTTCATTGAAGAGACGCAGACAGTAGAAACTTCAAATGACGATATCTCGGCTCCCAGGAGTCCTAGAAAGTCGAATTTTGGACAGAATTGAAGGAAATGTTCTGCACTACAATATATTTTTACACTAGACAAAATTTTAGAAAACCCAATTCAAAATAAAACACAATGTTCTAATTTTAAACTAATCTTGTAAAACTTGAAATAGTCTGTAATTCTGTCCAAAAACCAACTTTTTAGCTCTTCTAGGAGCCATGATACATCCATTAGAAGTTTAGGAGGCTAGAGACGCAGACAACGAGACACGCTGCGTCTCTAGCTTCCTTGAAGAGTCGCAGACAGTGGAAACTTTGTGTGCCCATATCTCGGCTCCCAGGCGTCCTAGAAAGTTGAATTTTGGACAGAATTGAAGGAAGTTTTCTGCTTTTCATGATTTGTAAAAATGTATAAATTCTGAACGTTTTAAATTCTAAAAATTTTGTATAACTCCGCTTCTAGATGGACCGAATGATTGATTTTTGGAAGATATGTGGGTGGAGCACTTAAATTTGAAAAAAAAACGAAATCAATCAAAAAATCCAATCAACGAGATGTTAATATATAAAGAACAATGCGATGGCCCTCTGGGAAACAGTATACTCCTCTCGGGAAAATTCTTTAATCAATATTTTGAGCGCAATTATCTCAGTTCCTATAAGAGCTATCAAAATTTTGTCAACTGATAAAATGTTAAAGGTGTTGTGACAAACATTTCTATAGTTTGCAGATTTTCGATATCTCTTATGAAAAACGAGATATTCTTTGTGGAAGTTATTGAACCTGAATCCAGGAAGCAAGAATTCTGATGACGTGGCAGATGTCCTCATCAACTGTCTATCTTTTTCTCCCAACCTTTGCTCTATTCATTTCTCACAAAAATCCCTTTCTTCTTTTTGCTCCCCCCCCCCCCCCGAGCAGCCAACCCCGTCGGTGCTCCCGTGCTCACAGGGATACTTCAAAACATTTCATATCTCTCTTTTTCTCTGTCTCTCTCTCTCTCTCTCTCTCTCTCTCTCTCTCTCTCTCTCTCTCCTGCTGGGATCCCGTGTGCTGCTCCTCCGAAAACTTTGTGTATGATTTTTCGTTTTCTCTACGTCTCTTGCTCTCTCCTCTAAGATCTTCTCTCACTTTTTCCTTTGCTTTTCTTTCGTCACAACCAAAAGCTTTTTTTTTAACTTCTAAATTTTTAGATTCCTAAAAATCTGGTACATGCGATTTCATGGTGAAATCTCTTCTGAATCTCTGCCTCTCGGCAGTCTGCCAACACGAATTAAACCAGGAGCTCAGCTTCATTCCAGTCGAGTGTCGTCAGAAACTTTTGGAATTCTTTTGCAGTCATGATCAGGTAAATGCGCCCTAGTGATAATTAGCTGGAAATTTTTTGTTTTAAGTTTTTGTAATTGATACGTTTTTGATAGTATATATATATATATATTTTACGAGATATGCGCCTTTAAAATTGAGTATAAGCGTAGCAAGCGGTACTCATATTTTAAAGGCACATATCTCAACAAACAGTTTAGCTAGAAAGAAGTAGTAAACTAGAAAAATGTAGATCTTGATTCAGTTTATGTACGAGTATTCAATTGCAAACGCGCCCCAATGTCAATTTTTCAGCTCTCCGCCTCAGACTGCTCCAACCTGGTGTGCTCGAAATACTTTGGTTGCAACATCCCATCGCTAACATTCTATCTATCAGCTGAGCTAACAGATGACATGCTTGGTCAACTGACCACCAACAACAAGTACGTTGAGAAGATCACACTGGTTGACTGTCCGAATGTTACGGACCTTGGCACGTTGGCTGTGACCAGGGGACAATTGCTTCTGAGACAACTGGAACTGAGAGCCATGCATCAGTTGACGGATGAGTGTCTGGAGAATGTTTATAGTCCGTATCTGTACTCGGTGGATTTGTCCGGGTGTGGAAAGGTGAGTGACTGAATTCGTATAATTTCAAACATATTTTTTGAAATTCCAAACATTTTAGATTGACCGTATTAAGCTGAAATTTTCCTGCAAATCTGTCTAAAAAACGGCAGCCGAGATACAGTGATTTTGAAATTTAGCTGCTTGCGTCTCTCATGCAGAACTAGAGACGCAGCGTATCTTGTCGTCTGCGTCTCTAGCCTCCTAGACATAAAAAGGGGTGTATCTCAGCTCCCAGAAAAGCTAAATAGCTGGTTTTTCTTGTAAAAAATTTCTCTAGATCCTATTTTTTTAAATTTAAGTTTAATTCAACAAATCGAAAATTTGAAAATGACACATTTTAAATGACAATCGAAAAAAACAAATTTTCCTTCAATTTGTCAAAAAACAGCTTTCCAGCTTGCCTAGGAACTGAGATACACCCCTTCAAAGTTTGGGATGTCAGAGACGCAGTGTGTCTCGTTGTCTGCGTCTCTAGCCTCCTGAACTTCAAGCCGCTATATCACAGCTCCTAGAAGGCCTAGAAACTTGATTTTCAAACTGACATCTCTGAAATTTCAAACACATCTCCTAAAAATTCCAGATCACTAGCACAGGAATCAGAAACCTGATCATGAATAACAAAAATATCAGATGCCTCTACTTGAACACGTGCCGCTCACTGGACGATCAGGTCCTGTATGATATTGCCGAGCATGTTGGAGAGAGACTTCATGTGGGTTTTTGGTGGCCTAACTTGTTTTTCCAGGCCGCAAAGGAAAATTTCAGGTTCTGGAGCTGGATTTCCCAACATCGCTAGCCGATCCGGCAGCTGCTCTCCATTATCTGTCCTCGAAATGTCCGAACCTCTCACAGCTGTCATTGGCCAGATTTTTCCATGAGGTTTGAGAAAAAAAAATCTTTAAATTTTTAAATTTTCTCATCCTGAGAAATTGCTGAAATCTGAAAATCCCAGAAATTTGGAAATTTATGCATCATTTTTGACCATAAAATCAGAAATTTCTTGATTTTTTTTTCCGAAATTCCCAATTTTTGCAGAGTCTGGAAGACGTTGAGAACAATGTGCAATTCGTGATTGACGGTGTGAATTTACGAGATTTGGACCTTTATGGCAACTTTTTCCAACTAATGCCCCAGCTCCCTCCAACGGTCCAATCGATTCGGTTATCAGTGTCTGGAGAAGAAGACTCGGAACAGTTATTGGCGACGCTGATGGACCAGCCATTTCTCAGTTGTATCAATTTGATTGTCTCCGTTCGGGAAGCGAATATAGTGAGTTTATAGAGATCAAAACTTCCTTCAATGCTGTCGAAAAACCAAGTCTCTAGGTTTTATAGGAGCCGAGATACAGCCATTTGAAGTTCAGGAGAGACGCAGACAACGAGACACACTGCGTCTCTAGCCTCCTAAACTTTAAACGCCTGTATCTCGGCTTCTAAAAGGCATATTAAATTGATTTTTTGACAGATTTGCAGGAAATTTATAGCTTCACAAAATCAGTTTAAAAATTTGAAAAAATGAAAATTTTGTTTTTTTGAGAATTTCGTCTCCTTTTTCAAATGATATTGTAAAGCTAAAAATTACCTTCAATCCTGAATAAAAAACAACTTTCTAGGTCCAATAGGAACCGAGATACAGTCATCTAAATTTTAGGAGGCGAGAGGCGCAGACAACGAGACACTCTAACTGTCTGCGTCTCTCCAAACTTCAAACGCCTGTATTTCGACTCCTAGATGCGCTAGAAACTTGGTTTTTGGACGAAATTGAAACTCGAAATCTGAATTTTAAGGTTTTCTGTAAATCCTGTTCAACGTTTTGGTTAAAAACAAAAAAAAAATCGAAAATCCAAAACTTTTTCATCATTTTCCGAGAATTATAATTATTTTTACCGGTTTTAGAAAAATCAGTTTGCTGCATACTTGTCAAATTCCGGGCCGGGTCGGAAAAAATCTTCCGGCCCGGCCCGGGTAGCTGTTTTTTTTGAAAAATTTTGAGAAAAATTTTTTGAATTCCACCTGAAAAACAACTTCCTGTTATAATCCGCCTTTATAAAAGAATCGAAACTTCAAAATTAAGATCAATTTTGATGAAAACTTCACAAATTTTCAAAAAACTTGGAAATTTTGAAATTTTGGAATCTGACCCGGGCCGACAGGGCCGGGCCGGAGAGTTTTTCCTTTTGACCCGGCCCGGCCCGTGACAAGTATGGTTTGCTGAGATTTAGACACTTCAAACTTTATAAAGCTAGAGACGCAGACAACGAGACACACTGCGTCTCTAACCTCCCAAACTTGAAAACAAAATCTATTTAGAATAGCTGAATGGCTGGAAGATAACTTGAAATTCAGCCAAATTTTCTAAATATTGTGTTTTCCAGCAAGCCGTCGACAACGCGAACCGTCTCCTCTGCACCATCATTCCACTACTTGGTCCCAAAATTATCAAACTCCAAATCTCAGTTCCTCGTCTTTTCGATGAACCCCTTCGTCTGGTAACCGAATCACTTCCAAATCTCACACATTTATCACTGGAAATCAATCATTTGAACACGAATATCCTGCAAAAATATTTCGCCGGTGGATCAAAATCGAATGCCAGCAAACTGAAATGTTTGAAGATTTGCCGAATGCGTATGACCTATCGTGTGCTCTTTGCGATTGCTCGCGGAGCCCGGAATCTCACGGATTTGGAAACTTCGCATATGCCAAGTGTCGATGACAGATTCCTATGTCTTTTGGGTGGCAACTGTCGGCAGTTGAGATGTTTGAATATCAATGGATGTCGATTAGCTACTGATAAGGGATTATCAGTGTTGGCGAGGTAAGAAGCGCTGAAATTGAAGCCATTTTGCAGCTTTCCCGCTTGGTTAGGAGCCTAGAGGAAACTCCGCTTCTCGGCATATATGGAATTATATTCCAGAAAATCAGATATTCAAAAAAATAACAACCACAAAAATAATCAAGTTTCTAGCTCTTCTAGGAGCCGAAATACAGGCATTTGAAGTTTAGGAGGCTAGAGACGCAGACAACGAGACACGCTGCGTCTCTAGCTCCCTTGAAGAGACGCAGACAGTGGAAACTTTGTGTGCCCATATCTTGGCTCCTAGGCGTCCTAGAAAGTTGGTTTTTGGGCAGAATTAAAGGAAATTTTTATTTCTACAATATATTTTAAGACTAGACAAAATTCTCTGAAAAAATTCAAAATATAACAAAATGTTCTAATTTTGAATTAACCTTGTAATGCAAGAAATAGTCTGTAATTCTGTCCAAAAACCAACTTTCTAGCTCATCCAGGAGCCGAGATACAGACATTTAAAGTTTAGGAGAGACGCAGACAATGAGACACGCTGCGTCTCTAACCTCATAATCTTCAAAGTGGTGTAACTCGGTACCCAGAAGAGCTAGAAATCTGAAACGTTTTCGAGAACCATCTCTGGTTTTTGAACTTTCTAGAATTCTAATTTTCCAGACGCTGTCCCCTCCGCGAAGTCCGTATTCGTGGCACCGCCTGCACTGACAAATCAATCTACACGTTGGCTCAATTCTGTCCAGAATTGGAATGGATCTCGTATGCGGATTATTCTGGAAGACCCAAATTTTCAGACGCCGCACTTCAATGTTTGAGGGATTGTGTATTCAGAAGGTCATTTGCTGATGACATAAAATTTTTGGAAAATATTTTTTGCACAAAATTCAGGTCACTTTTTTTTAGAAAATTGTCTTTTTTACCTCTTTTTATATACTTTTTGAATAATTCAGAACAAAATTCAGGTCGTTTTTTTTTTCATTTTTTGTTGTAAAAATTAATTTTGTTTCAAAAAAAAATAAATACATTCCCAATTTTTCAGTTCCTTGTTTCAAAATTTCAGAATTTCAGAAAATCCGATTTTTCAGAATTTCTGGAATTCACAGTTTCCAAATTCCCGAATTTTAGAATCTCAGAATTTCGGAATTTCAGAATGTCAAAATTTCAGAATTTCAGAATTTCAGAAGTTCAGAATTTCCGATTTTCAGAATTTCAGAATTTCAGAATTTCAGAACTTCAGAAGTTCAAATTCTAAGAATCTAAGAATTTCAGAATTTCAGAATTTCCGACTTTCAGAATTTCCGACTTTCAGAATTTCAGAATTTCAGAATTTCCGAACTTCAGAATTTCAGAATTTCAGAATTTCGGAATTTTAGAATGTCACAATTTCAGAATTTCAGAATTTCAGAAGTTCAGAATTTCCGACTTTCAGAATTTCAGAATTTCAGAATTTCAGAATTTCAGAATTTCAGAACTTCAGAAGTTCAAATTCTAAGAATCTAAGAATTTCAGAATTTCAGAATTTCCGAACTTCAAAATTTCAGAATTTCAGAATTTCAGAATTTCAGAATCTCAGAATCTCAGAATCTCAGAATCTCAGAATCTCAGAATCTCAGAATCTCAGAATCTCAGAATCTCAGAATTTCCGAGTTTCAGAATTTCTGGAATTCACAGTTTCCAAATTCCCGAATTTTAGAATCTCAGAATTTCGGAATTTCAGAATTTCAGAATTTCAGAATTTCAGAATTTCAGAATTTCAGAATTTCAGAATTTCAGAATTTCAGAATTTCAGAATTTCAGAACTTCAGAAGTTCAAATTCTAAGAATCTAAGAATTTCAGAATTTCAGAATTTCCGACTTTCAGAATTTCCGACTTTCAGAATTTCAGAATTTCAGAATTTCCGAACTTCAGAATTTCAGAATTTCAGAATTTCGGAATTTTAGAATGTCACAATTTCAGAATTTCAGAATTTCAGAAGTTCAGAATTTCCGACTCTCAGAATTTCAGAATTTCAGAATTTCAGAATTTCAGAATTTCAGAACTTCAGAAGTTCAAATTCTAAGAATCTAAGAATTTCAGAATTTCAGAATTTCCGAACTTCAAAATTTCAGAATTTCAGAATTTCAGAATTTCAGAATCTCAGAATCTCAGAATCTCAGAATCTCAGAATCTCAGAATCTCAGAATCTCAGAATCTCAGAATCTCAGAATTTCCGAGTTTCAGAATTTCTGGAATTCACAGTTTCCAAATTCCCGAATTTTAGAATCTCAGAATTTCGGAATTTCAGAATTTCAGAATTTCAGAATTTCAGAATTTCAGAATTTCAGAATTTCAGAATTTCAGAATTTCAGAATTTCAGAATTTCAGAATTTCAGAATTTCAGAATTTCAGAATTTCAGAATTTCAGAATTTCAGAATTTCAGAATTTCAGAATTTCAGAATTTCAGAATTTCAGAATTTCAGAATTTCAGAATTTCAGAATTTCAGAATTTCAGAATTTCAGAATTTCAGAATTTCAGAATCTCAGAATTTCAGAATTTCAGAATCTCAGAATTTCATAATTTCAGAATTTCCGAACTTCAAAATTTCAGAATTTCAGAATTTCAGAATTTCAGAATTTCAGAATTTCAGAATTTCAGAATTTCAGAATTTCAGAATTTCAGAATTTCAGAATTTCAGAATTTCAGAATTTCAGAATTTCAGAATTTCAGAATTTCAGAATTTCAGAATTTCAGAATTTCAGAATTTCAGAATTTCAGAAATTCAGAATTTCAGAATCTCAGAATTTCAGAATTTCAGAATCTCGGAATCTCAGAATTTCAGAATCTCAGAATTTCAGAAACTCAGAATCTCAGAATCTCAGAATCTCAGAATTTCAGAATCATGAACCAATTTCAGAGCTATGAATTTCAAATAGCTGTTTCTCAGCTCCTAGATGAGCTAGAAAATTTATTTATGGACTGAATTGAAAAAAATGTTATGCTTCAAAAGAACAGTCAAAAATTTCAAAATTAAAATAAGAATCAGATAAGAGACCGCGTAGCTCACCAAAATTAGTCCCTCTTTGATTTTGGCAACGTTTCGAGGTCATCAGAAAATGTGTGTCTATATAAAAACGTTGCCTTTTTTATCGTGTATAAAAATTTATGAGCGCCGGCGGCGCGCGCCGCTCACCGGCATTCTTCAAAGGGACACACGTTCAAATTTATGATCATGTTCCTAAAGGATAGAGACTCTGAAGGAAACCCCCCGAGATTTGATCACCGCCGCCAATTTGTTGCCAATATTTGGGAGAAATAGTGTGCCTAATGAAGAGAGTGTGGTTAGAGAAAGGACACACTTTACGAGGAGGTGCGTAGGGGGTACGGTAGAAGAGGACAAATTTAATGATTCGCTTTTTTGTGGCGATTTATCTTGGAAAAGATAACAACGGAGAAGGACAAATCTAATGAATTGGGTGATAAATTTCTTGATTTTTTTTGCCGATTTTTATTTGGCGCGTATATGATAAGGGTGAGATGGGATACTGTAGAACTTTGAAATCATGAAACTAAAGAATTTTGGATCTAAAGATAATAAAGCAAAAAAATCGCTTCAAATCTGTGTAAAAATCAATCTTCTAGGTTTCCTGGAAGCTGAGATACACCGCTTCAAAGTTTAGCAAGCTAGAGACGCAGACGACGAGATACACTGCGTCTCTAACCTCCAAAACTTCAAAAGGCCGTATCTCGGCTCCCAGATGAGCTAGAAAGTTGGGTTTAAAACAGGAATGGAGGAAATTTGTTGCTCTAGAAGATCATACAAAAAATTATTAATATTATAAAAACAATTTTGAGAAAAATTGTTTTTTTTTCGAAAATTTGAAAAGGATGAGAGGATTACTGTAAAAAAACTGATTAATTTTTTAGAAGATTATGAAGCTAAAAAATTTCTTCAATTTTGTCTAAAAACCAATTTTCTAGCACTTCTGGAAGCCGAGATACGCCTCTTCAAAGATTGGTGGGCAAGAGACGCAGACAACGAGATACGCTGCGTCTCTAACCACACAAATTTTAAACTGTTGTATCTCGGCTCCTAGATGGACTAGAAAACTGATTTTTAGACAGCTTGACAGGAAATTTTTAGCTCTACAAGTTCCTAAAAAATTTCTTTTTTTTTGAAATCTCTGGTGTTTTTGAAATTCTAGAAAATACAAATAAAATTGCTTATTTAAGTACAGAAGCCAACTTCCTAGCGCTGCCAAAAGCGGAGATACGCCCGTTTGAACTTTAGGAGAGACGTAGACGGTTAGAGTGTCTCGTTGTCTTCGTCTCTAGCCCCCTGAATTTCAAAATTTTGTATCTCGGCTCCTAATTGAGCTAGAAGATTGGTTTTTGAACCGAAATTTGGGGTTTTTCTCCAATTTTTCGATTGGTCCCTATTTGTTAACTTTACCCCTATAATAAATACCGTTTATTGTCCCATACACAAGTAAATATTTTCCCAGACGAATCAGCGCTCCAATCCTCTTCACCTTCTGGTATACCCCAACCGGATGGAGGTCCTTCTTTATCGGTGTCGATTTCACACTTTAGTGTAGCTGAGGTACCGTAATACAGATGTTGAAAAGATTGCGTGGGAATGGGAAAGAACAATAAACCGGATGGATTAAAGGTGGCAGTCTGTTTGTCTAGATGTCCGCAAATGCAAAACTGTCTGAAAAAGGAGCAATATGGATGTTTGAAAATCGTCAAAAAAGTCAGGATTGCGAAATTTGCGACCCCTCGATGTTCCCGAAATTCTACAGTAAAACCAGTACTAATTTGTTCCAATTCCCCTAATCATGTCCCAATGATCTTTATGACAATCGTGGCGCAAGGTGTTCCTTCTCTAAAATGTTGCCATCTTTGCCGCCGATGTGTTGAGAGAGAGGGAGAGAGAGAGAGAGAGAGAGAGAGAGAGAGAGAGAAAAGATAAGAATCTGAGAATACCGTCTTCTTAAATAATTAGCATTTCCTCTCTCTCCCTCTCTTTTACAGATTGGTGGGGATATGGCGTAACTGGTAATACATACAGGAATGGAAATGATATGATCTTTATTACATGCGTTTTTATGTTTTGTCATGTGATGTTGACCGCGTAGCTCAGCCTGGTACAAAAAATTGAATATTAAGGTGTGTCAAATTTTTCAGCTTTTATTACTAAGTCATTTTGTGTTAAAGTATGAAGTTTGAAGGAAGTTACAATACAAAAATCTGACGCATACTGATGCCATGGACATGCAATGATTCTTCATTTTCAAACGGCCCTATCTTCTGTAGTTTTTATCTGATTTGAATGGTTTTACTATCAAGCTGTGCAAAATCTTTTCAGCTTTTATTTTATATTTATTTTGTTCAAAATTTTAAAGTTTGAAGAAAGTTACAGCGGAAAATCTAAAGCACGCTGACGCCAAGGTGGATATGTTGTGGTTCCTTGTTTTCAAACCTTTGTATTTTCTGTAGTTTTTAGCTTATATCTATGATTTTACCATTAAAATGTGTCAAATTTTTAGGGCTTTCAAATCCATGTTATTTTGTCAAAAATATAAAGATTGATAGAAGTTACAGGCTAAAAACTGAGAGACAATGACTCCGAGCACATGATGTAGTTCTGGATTTTCAAACCTTCGTATTTTCTGTAGTTTTTAGCAGATTTTAATGATTTTTACTATCAAAATGTGTAAAATTCGCTCAGCTTTCATTTACAATTTATTTTTTTTTAATATAAAAAGTTTGAAAAAAGTTCCAATTGAAAATCTGAATCGCGTTTTCAAACTTATGTATCTCAATATTTGACATATATCTATCATTTTAATGGGTTCAAACTCATTCATTACGATCTACCTAATTGCTAATTTGAGGTTTTTTTTTTGTGGACCAAAACAAATATTGCTTCTAATTAGCCCCTTATTGATCCCTTTTCCATGGCCCCTAGATCTTTGCTAAAAGGTACCAATTACTTCCGCACTCCTTTGACCGGATACGCTTATTACCCCCTTTTCTTGTCTAGAGACCATGACGGGCGGTACGTCATAGATTTCGATCGTCCTTCTAAATGATAAAAAAAAGTACACTACTTGGACCCTTTCATTATCCCCCTAAGAACTTTTGCGAGAGGGGTACGGTAGGTATGCGCAGGTGTGAGGTTGATCGCGTTGGGCAACTTTTCCCATATCTTTTTTAGTTCTGAACCAATTTGCATGGTTTTTACACCCAAATATGACACATTTTTTTAGCTAGAAGACCCAATTTGGACTTTTCGAATTTACAAAAATTGAAAGAGGTTACAGTTGTTTTAGAAAAGCTAACATACCCTTTTTGTACAGATTACAATGCATTGATGAGTGTTAGTTTTTTATCCCTAACTTGCTTCAAACTTTACGTTTCGATAAAATCTAAACTGCGGTTTATAGCTAACGACATTTCACTTCTTTCAATATAAAAATCATAAAAATCGGTTCGATGAGAAAAAAGATACAGCGATTTGAAAAAAATTAAATATGCTCTTAATGGACGCGCTTTAGATTTTTAAGTGTAACTTGCTTCATACTTTGTATTTCTAAGCCAAATAAATTGATTATTAAAGCTCAAAAGATTTTGCACATTTTGGTATAAAAATCATAAAAATTGGTTGACAAATTAAAAAGTTATAAACAAAGTTTTAGAGCTAACATCATTTCTGGGTCCAAATCGAGAAATCTGGAGAATCTAGATATCAAAACAGAACCAAAGTACAATTTCCCATAAGCCACGCGTTCTCTGCTTATTTTTCCCACTGGGCGAATTTGCATATCAATTCATTTTATTATTTTTTTTCTCCCAAGTCAAATATTGGACTTCCCAGAGGAGTACTGTAGTTTTCAAGACGTTCTTTAATGATATTTGTCAACGGCCAACCCTTCGTCATTCCCCGGAATCTTCACTTTTAGTACTTTTTTCTAGAATTTACATTTTTCTGATTCTTCAATTTCAAAAAAAAATATTTTTACAAAAATCCCCCTTTTTTCAACGCTTTGCTTTTCTCGCTCTTTTGTACGCCTTCCCTCCCCCGCTCCCCTCGTGGCAGACATGTCCGAGTGGTTAAGGAGATTGACTCGAAATCAATTGGGCTCTGCCCGCGTAGGTTCGAATCCTGCTGTCTGCGAATCCTTTTTGATTTTTTTGCTTTACCTCCTAGACATGTTTAAAGGTCCCTGGGACACTTGGAACCTTAAAAAAGCCCAATTAGTAGACCAATATGTCAAGCTTGTACACGTGTGGTGTGCCGACAAAGGCCCCCGTTTTTTTTTTCTAAAAAGCAATATGGTGATGACCCATATTTTCACCAATTGCCACCATACGGAAAAGACTTTGATGTGGTGGCGTCCCCCACCAACCACCTTCGACAAATGATGTGTGCATAATTAATGACATCCCCTAGGCTAGGCGCGGAACACCTGGGAATTTGTAGCCGGCCGAAAGTGGTATAAAAAACCAACTAATGGGGGTTACAAAAAAAGATGATGATGCGGAAAATGTGAAAAACCTACAAATGTGTGTAGCGGTAGCCAGCCGGATGGCTGGTTATTGGTTTTTATGTGTGGAAAAAGTTTTCCATCAAGTTCCCTTTTTATATGGGACAGGTGAAAGTTTTTTGGGTGGTATGGGAACTTAATTTGTAGGTAGATCAATTTACAGTAATCCTTGCAACATTTTCTGAATCCAGCGAGACATATGTATAAAATAATATCATCTCAAAAGCCTTCTATCTTTTTCCCATGCATTTTTTCCAAAAAGCTTTTTTAGTGCATAGAAAGATATGTCAAACTGTAGGAATTTTTATAAAACTTTCAGAGTAGATCAAAAAAATATAGAGCTTCATTTTTGCAGTTAACAATTTTTTTGTAAAGTGTCCCTGAAAAAAGATACACCGCTTTGAAGCCCACAACCGCTAAAGGGTCGGCAGTGGGGTACCAAGGGATGGGGGATAATTGTCGCCTTATATCTCCTTTCAAAGAAATTTCACAAAAAGGTTGTCAACTAGAAAAATGAAGCTCTATATTTGTTTGATCTGTTCTGAAAAATTCAGTTATGCTTGATAAATTTTAATATCTTTTGTAGGCAGTTGAATGAATTTTACTGGTGTTTGGCTCTTTTTTGTACCGTTAGGCTTATTTTAGGCCCCAAAACAGATATTTGCTCCCTTGAAATTTCTAGAATCGTCTATCAATAAAATTTCTATTGTTCCTTTTTCCCATCCCCATCAATTTTTGGCGTGTGTGCCAAATTGATGCAGTAGATCAAAGGCACCCCGGCGCTCTCCCCCCTTCTCTCAGAAGGGCGACCTTTTCCGCAATCACAAGAGAGAAAGAGGGATAACCTTTTTGCTACACGGCTGTCAATTAAGAAAATGTTGATGGATGAAGAGTCAAGACGGAATTACGAATAGAGGTTTCTAGGCCATGGCGGGAAGTAGGTCAAAATAATCAACTGGAATTTAAGCCAATTTATCTTCCTTCTTGTAAAAGATATTCAAAAGTTATCAACTGATAAAATGTTTAACTGATTATGCTTAACATTTTCTTAGTTGATCACTTCTTTATATCTTTTACAGAAACCGAGATATTAAGGCTTCAAGTTGATAGTACCTCACTCTTTAAAAAAATCCACCCCCCCCCCCTGGGGGTGGGGTGGTTTTTTTTTACTGTATAAGCGTCTTGAAGACTGGTTTAGCCTTACGCTATGATTTTGAAATTTTGCAGAGATACTAAACAAAACTAGAGATTCACTTCTGTAGTTGACAACTTTTTTGTACAAAGCCCACGAAAAAAGATAAACCGCTTGAAAACCGACAACCGTTCAGGGCGCAGCCGGGAGTACCAGGGGGATGGGGCCGGTTGTAGTCTTATATCTCTTTTAAACAAAGCTTCACAAAAAAGTTGTCAACTACAAAAATCAAGCTCTATGTTTGTTTGATCTACTCTGAAAATTTCAGACAAAAAGGACTAGTACAAAGTGCTTTTGTAGATACTTGAACTCCAAGCTCTGAGCTGACGGCATTTCAAATCTAGGCGGTTGAGATGGCCTAAAAACCCAAGGCAGCCTAGAATCCCTTTTCCACCTTTTTTCAGCTTCTCATTTGCTTCCGTTCAATTTGCTCTCCCTCCAGTTACTTGTCATGTCAACGTGTTCCCATACCGATTTATCATTGTTCCTGTCTCCCTCTCTTTCGCCACAAAGACACCGTGACGATTGGGATGGCAAGAGAGCATAGGAAACTTGAGAGACGGAGAGAAACAATTGGGATTAGAGAGCAAGTGATAAGCGGAGAGAAAATGGCGAATCTCGCGCATTAAAATCCTTTGTGATGTTGCCGACAGAACCAAGGTCCTAGTGGATATATTATATATATATATATATAAGTGATGAGGTTGTTGTACTGGACTGGTGTCAATTTGTAAACATATCGAAGAAGATGAGAGCCTAAAAATGCTCCAAGAGGAAATTTGAATTCTTCCCGCAAGGAAGGATCCAAAGGAAGGTCTGCTAACTCATGTGGGTTGTTAATTTGCATT